AAACCAGTAACTACCAACTGTAGCCTTGAACCAATACCTGTCCCTAGATTCAAACCTTACCTCTCTTTTTCCTGCCTGTGTGTACGGAGAGTCTGAGAGGTGGTCATTTCTCAGTGGGTCAGGCAGTCGACATCCGTACCTGTTATTTTAACAGACCTATCTGATTTTGGGCTGTTTATGTCTAATCTAGCCTTCATTCTGCCATTTTAAAACAGTTCAGTCAATCAAAATAAACATCCTGGAGAAACATCATCTTACCAGCTCTCCTTTCCCATGTCCTCATAATTAAACCTTTAATTCTAAAAGATGAAGCATCAGAAGACCTTCCTTGCATTTGGTTTTAACAACCTGACATCAAGGTTGTCTTCTGGATTGTGGCACGGGGGCAGGTTTAATCTTTCCCTTGCCCCTTATAATCATAAGGAACAGGGGTGTATTAAAGCTTCAATTGCACTGTTGTGGCTGCCATATCTTGACTTTTTGGACCATATCCTGTGGGCAACCTCGCTAAAGAATAATTCTTCCCAGGCATAAGTTGCAGTTAGCAACAGGAATTAATTCTGGTTCTACAGGAATGGTGGTTATTTTTTTGTAATCTTATGATGAGCCTGTAAGCTATCCAATTACCACAATGTATGTAATCATTGTGGTATGGCCGTGCTTTATGCCTTGCTCTTGCTAACATAATCATCTAAATCAACTCAGCATGTAAGCAGTTGCCTCAGGCAGAAAAGTCATAACGCGGTGAATATTCCCAAGCCCATCTTTCTCCTGTTTTGAGTCTCCTAGACCAGAATCCCCTTCAGCAAACAGATCCTTGGCCAAAAACATGTCTGCACTGTGTCATAATGGCTGCAAGACTAGATGTGCCTTGCAACTACAACACCTTCTCCTCTCTCTTTGGTTTCTACTTACTCAAGGACTAACAAGAACCAGTTCTTGAAAACGTATCAACTGTATGCAGAACCCAAAGGAGACAGAAACTACTAAAACAAAGTAAAACTGTTAGATCCCTCTATGGCATCACTGTAACACCTTTTACAGTGGGCACTTACGTGAATGAATATCATGGTCATAAGAGCAATGAAACGTTACATATTTTTGTGCTCTTGTAGCATCCTTTTTAGAGAAGGTTGAGGTGGTGGTCAGACTGCAGTTTTCAGAGGGTCTTGGATGAAGTGGATTATCTGGAATCTTTTCATTTGGGTTTCAGACCAGGGGATGCTTATCTATGATCTCTGGTGGAGTCAGGATGGTAGAGGTACAACTATCCTGGTTCTCCTTGATCTCTCAGCAACCTTCAATACTATTGGTCATGGTATCCTTTTGGACTGACTGCAGGAATTAAAAATGGGAGGCACAGGGTTGTTGTGGTTCTCCTCTTGTCTCTGCAGCTGGTCAGTGTTGACTGGAGGGGAGGAGTCTGAGGCCCCTGACGCGCAGGATGTCACAGGACTCAATGCTCCTCTTCTTTAACATCTACATAAAGCCATTGGGAAGGGTCATCTGTTGATACACAGGGTCAGGGATCAAGAATATGCTGATGACACCCTACTGTACATCTCAACCCCAAACTGACCAAGTGATGCCACCAATGTCTAAGTGCTTGAAGGCTGTTGGATTCTGGATGGGGAGGAGCAAGTCTAAATTCAACCTTAACAAGACCAAGTGGCTGTGTGTTTTGGCTTCTTCTGGTACCATGGATTTTCCATCTTTAATTCTGAATGGGGTAGGACTCCCCCAGACAGAACTGGTGCACAATCTGAGGGTCCTCCTGGACTCATAGTTACTGCCTGAAGAGCAGATGGCAGCTATGAGCAAAGGGCATTTTGCCCAGATTCATATGGGGCACCAATTAGACCCTGTCCCAGACTATGGATCTCATGATCTTTGATACCTTTCACGTGGAATATTTCAACACACTCTACATGGAGCTTCCTTGAAGAACACTCAAGTTGCAGCTGATACAGAATGTGATGGTGCACCAATGTAATACACCTACTGTGCAAGCTACACTGGTTACCAATAAATTTCTGGATGCAATTCAAAGTGCTGGTTGTAGCCAATAAAGCTGTTCACGGCGTACAGCCTGGCTATATGAGGGACCACCTTTCTCCCACTGTTTGTGACCATTCAGTGAGAACTGACAGAGTGGGCATGCTCCACATCCCATCTTTAAAATGCTATGAGTTGAGCAGCCTATACATTTGACTTATAAAATATTACACATAAAACTATCAAATGAGTTGCTATGATGCCATGATAGTTATATGCCAGCATCTTGCCACATAAAGTTGCTACAATGTGGCTATGTCTTAAGCAGGTACCCAACAGATGCCCATTCACTGGAATTGTGACTAAAGGCTTATTAAAGTAACACAACATGTGAACATCTAAACCAATGTTGGCCAAAGTACCCAAGACTTATGGACAGATTTCAAGGTGTTCTTCAATGTGTTATCTTTATGATGTGCAGCCTCCTGTCCATTTCCACAAATGGTTGTTATTGTAGTTTGTAGCTTTGTTATAAGCTAAAAAAAAAAAAAGTCAATTTAAAGCATGTTATAGGACAGAGGTGCACAACTTGGCCTTGAAAACTGGTTGAACTCTCCAGAGACTTTCAATGTGTGTTAAAAATTGCAGTAATCTTTAATGACACAGGAGGGTGTTATGCAATCCATGATTACTTAGTAATCATGTTAGCTATGTATAATTAATTCATTGGTAATTAAATTATAATCTTTAGCTTTTAGCACACCACTCAAAGGCCAAGTTGCCCATAAAAAGTTTATGGTCCCTTTATCTGGGAGATGGGGTCAATGAAACTTCCCCATTTTTCCTTTCTGCACAACTATTTTCTCCACTTGGATCACTGTTGTAGATTCCCATTATGTCCTACTGTTTTGGACTACCATGAGAAGTAAACATAGCCCAACTTTCAGCCAATGACTCCTTTGCACCATATGTTCATAAGCACATTTGTTCTAGACCAAGTGGAAGGAACCTCTAAGGACAACTCTACTCTGCGAGACTAAACATATGACCCATCAGTTTTGGAAGTGAAGAGGAGAAAGAGAAGAAGGGCACATACCAAGAGGGCCAGCAGGTCATTACGATCATAGGCATTTGGAATGCACCAGCCTATAGCGCTATGTTCAACAGCCCACCCATCCTTGGATACCATGCAAAACAACTGAAACAGAGTTTATTTCCAATGGCAAGGCAATCCATAATTGAACCACCCAAGATAATTAATTTAAATTAGTCTTTCCAACCCTGGCATAATCCAAATAAAGAGACTGCAGCTCCCAGAATTCCCAACCAGGAACCCAAAGAAATCCAGGAGGTACCAAACTGGGGAAAGCTGAAAGCTATAAAATGCTGGTTTAAAATCATGATGACCCAACTCCACAAGCTGGTAGAATACCTATGTTACATACCATCATAAAGTCCTTATTTGCAAATGTCTATGTATTTAAAGATCATACAGCACAATGGCCTACATCATTAGAAGAATCAAGCTCTTCTTCAGCTCCTTGGGATTTGCTCTTCCGAAGTAACACACTTCTTCTGCAAGGTGCTCTTAAAAACTCACTCCCCCCCCCAAAAAGGAGGTGAGGGTGAAGATAATTCCCATTATTAACAATAAATCTCTTCTGGGACTTTCATCTAAGCCATGTAGAGCTGCCATAATTATAAAAATAGCAGCAGAAGACTGAGCAGTCACCTGAATCAATATGGAGAAAATTTTACCCTTGCTGAGAAAGCAAGGTCCAAAAGAAGAGTTTTGAATCCAAGACACTTGATTTTTCTCTCTTTTGCTCCCTTGGGCTATGGCAAAGACTTCCATCTTTGACTTTGGCTGGCCTTAGAGACCTGTTTGAACCTTGGTAGACTACCACCAGAAAACCCGAGGACCGTACACTACACTGAGTAATCAGAACATCCTAGAAGGTAGTGGCCATCCCACTTCCATGTGGGTGCCCAGGAAGTTATGGAGTTAAACTTGACTCACAGAAGACCTTATTTTCAAAATGTGATCCTGATAAACCCACACATCATAAAGAGCACATGATTTGATTCTGCGTGTTCTGCACATCCACTCACTGGTTTTTCAAGCACAATTTAGAGTTATGCAAACACAGCCTATTACAGTTCTTTCCTTAACCATAGCTTAATGCATTGTAAGAATTTTGCTGGCCTTTTGCGGCCTATGGCAGCCTCCCCGGCAGGTTTTCCGGAGTGTTGGGACTGCTGCTGGGAATTCTGGGAGCTGCAGTCCCAACACACTGCAGGGGGTGCCATATAGGAAGGCGTCAGGTCACTGAATATATTGCTGCAAAGAGCTGCAGAAAAGGGTAACGCTTCAGCTTCCAGCATCTGGAGATGCTTGATTAAGTGGGAGCCTCATTTGTTCAACAGTGCTCTTAAGAAAACTGTAAGGCAACCAAAACAAGGGAATTACACTGCTTCAGGCCAAGTTCCTAAAAGCAGCCTAAGCCTCTATGTCAGTCCATGTCTACTTTATTGAAATGGAGGCAGAAAGAACAAAAAGTCAAATTATGGAAAGCTTTTTTACCTTTCTCTACACAGAGAACCAGGATTCCCAGTAAGAACCAACCTCTCCCATCCTTTTTCCATTTGGGGGCAGGGGATGTAGAAATTAAATACCTGTTTACCGCCTTTTCAATAATCTGAGGCTATTGTTGCCATCTCACACAAATAAGGGGCAAAAGTTGGATCCTAGAAGGAACTCATCTTCATGTCAAGAAAAAAAGGTAACCAAATCATGAGCGTCACTGAATCTTCACTGAATATCCAATTAAGGTGCAACTAAAGCAACAGCAGAGATCACATGTTCAATGCAAATTTTAAAACAAATTGACTGCATTTCTGAATGTCCTACAGATTTACTTCTAGTTATTGCTTTCAAAGTTTAAAATTTAAATGCCCCAATAGATGTGCAATTATTTATAACTACATGCTTAATTAAAAACAATACTTAGATGCTTTGTAAGAATAGATATTCATTTGAGAAGCAAACACAACATTAATGTTAATTACAAACAATTTTTTTTTGAGGCGATAGGAGAGGGAGAAAACGTGCTGCAATTCTTAGCTAGGCACAGCAGAAGATATTTAGAAGATAAAACTGCTTGGTGTTCCCTTTTTTAATATCCAAGGAAAAATTATTCTTTGTATATCATAATGGAAGATAAAAACTGTTGCAAAATCTATAAGCAAAAGCACAATTTATTTACTCAATAAAAATTATTCCTAGTATATATACAGCATAGAAGAAATAATCTGATGTGTTTCCAAGCGGTTGCTTTAAGACTAATAGATGAATTCATAAGTTTTAATTTGATAGACCACTTGCTTAGGAGGGAAAAAAATCCCAGTAGGTTTATCCAATAGCTCCTCTTCCACCTCCAAGCAAGGAACTAAACTTTCAAAGTGATACAACTTTAAAAACATCCCAATTAAAAGTATACAAGTCACTAGAAAGTTTTGCTGAAAGCCACAAATGCCTGACATACAGTGGTTAGAAGTATTGTGCGCAAAGAAAGTATCTGCATTCAGAGCAAGATGGAAAATAAGTAGGTTTCACTGTGCCAAAATAACATAACCAGCTACCTTTGGAGAGCTGGGACAAAAAAAAAAGTCCCAGCAACTTGAAGGCAGCACTGCAATGGCTAACTGAACCATGGTTACCCCATTCAGTCCAATGACATTGGTTCACAATGTACTGAGTCATGAACTAACCACACAGACCTGGATTCACACAACACACAGAGCCATGAAGCAGCCAGCGACCACATTTTGCTCAAGTATGCTGTGCAAATACAGCCCAATGTACAAACTGGAAGCCTGACTTCTACACGAAATGTGTTCATGGAAGTTTGTGCTGGAAAAACTCGGGTGAGCAGAGCCCCCACAGCAGCACACTGGCCATCTTAATCTTTCCAGAAACAGCCCTGCATCCAAACAATGCAGACATCCCATGCTCAGAGGTTGCAGGGCTCTTGCTCATCCAGGTTATCTCAACTCCCAATGTTTATTCTTTAAAAAAATAAATACTGACGAAAGCTGGGCTCTTTGCCATGAGGCTTGCCCAAGGTGTGGAGAGCCACACCATGTGCTCTCATGATGAAACACAGTGGAGGTTTGATTCTGAAAGTGTTTGCACAAAAGTGCAGTGGAAAAGTCACTGACCTGTACAAAAAGCTTTACTGTTTTTAAAACAAAAGTGTTTATTTAAACAAGCATAAGCAATTAATTAATATATTTCCACAGCAAGATAAATATCCCCATTAAACTAGGTCATTCTATGGCGTGCCATAGTGTTGGGCTTAAGACAGCTGTACAGTGGGAGAGGGGCTGACGTTAGTGTTATTTACATTACCATATTCAATACCCTATACAAGAAAGGAGCTAAAATCAGACATAGAGGATTAATTTCACTGTTCTGCCAGGGTAGCGGAGTCTGTTTTGCTTTAATCCACAATGAAGCATGGGCTGTATGCAGCTAAAGGACTCCAGTTAGTCGAGGTCTCCAGCATTCAACACACATTGGGACCAAGAGGGATGGGAACCTGGTTTGTGTTGGAAAACTGAAACTATACAACAGCCAAGTGTCTTTGGGCAAATATAGAGTTTTCTCTTTTCTTTTTAATTGACAACACAAACCTGGTATTATTTTAGGAACCCTAATTGAGAAGGTTTAGTTTCTGTTTTGTTTTTTTTTTAAATTCCATTTCATAAGAGGAAATCACACTATTTTTTGTTTTATATTTATAACCACCACACAAAAAGTGGCTGTTGCAAGCAGCGTCTTGCCCATTGTTCCCTCACCACGTAATCAGCTGAAAGGATACCACGGTGGCTTAGACAACGCTCTCCCGGTTAGCCGAAGCCAAGACGGCTCGGCGGCAAATTGGGCAAGTGGAATTTTCGGACAGCCAGCGATCTATGCAGTGTACGTGATACTCATGGGAGCAAGGTAGTTTTCTAAGCTTATTCCCTTCGGTGTATTCGGTGATACAAACACTACAGGTTTTCAGAGCATCGCTTTCACCAAAATTCCTCATGGCAAGGTTGTCAATTTGTTCTTTGGTGAGCCCTCTAGGCTGGTCATCATCTTCTTCGTTAAGTAGAAAAAACTGTGCCAAGCTAAGGAATGGCAAAGAGCCGCTTTCTTCAAAAGTAACTGACCCCCTCGCGTTCCGCCCTTCCCGTCTTGGGCCAGCCGTGGGCCCCCCTTCTTGGCTACCTTCATATGCCTCTCCCGATCCAGCCTCAGTACCTTCATGGCTTGAATGACTATTTCCACTGCCGCCTCCAGCCTGGGCTTCTGCCATTTCTACATTTGGGTTTGGTGCTGAGCCCCCAGGATCAGCATCGCTATCGCTGTACATGAAGTAACTGAGCTCACCAAAGCCAGTCATGATCTGTCTTAACATGGTTTGAATGGCAACCGAGGTGGTCTCACTCAGACCTGTGTTCAAGATTCTGCGAATAGGAATCCTAATGGTACTGACATAAGTTCTCACACCTGCCCTTTCCGAGCGTGAAAAGGTACGTCTAAACCCTCCTCGCTCACTTTCATAAGTGACCGTATTGTTTGGAGTCTGGGACCTTGACCGGGTTCGGTTGGCTATACTGTCTCTCTGCCTGTATTCTCCTGGACGAACCCGTCTCACCTGCAAGTCAAGAACGATTGTGGGAGGTCTCTGTCCAGGGGCTGCTGGTTCCGCACTGCCACTTGTTTCTGAAGACCCTGCTGCCTGAGGGACAGGTCTTGCTTCAGAGGTTGAAAAGAGAACAGTATTTTCAGTGGGCATCTCAGAATTTGCTGCGTGTTGCCGTATGACCATGTGTTGTCTTGTTCTAGAACTTCCTTCTGCTTCACCAACCAAGGGAACATCAGGTGTTTGAGAGGATGTATTGTGATGTATCCTGCGAGGAGATTCACTCACTGGACTAAGAGGGGATCTACTTCTATCAGTCCTTGCCCGTGTCCTCCGTTGTTCAGGACTTCTGCTTCTTGACCTTCTCTGGCCTCTCTGAAGAGAAATGTCTTCATTTAGTTCTTCAGCATAACTCATTTCTGAGTCAGGCTGCCTGGCAACAGGAGGAGAGGAGCTCTGCCTTAGAACAGGAGGAGAGGCAGACCTTGAAGTCTCAGTGTCACTTTGGTTATTTTCTAGATCCTCTCCAGTGGGGGGTTCTACAGATGGCTCACCCTCAGTTTCTGTACTTGGGTTCCCGTTATTGCGGTTGACATTTATTTCCAAACTAAATCTGAAATCCCCGCTGTTTGGATTAGTCCGGCTTACTGCTCTCCAAGACTGGTTGCCTCTCTGCCCACTTCGTGTTGTATTCCCAGTTTGTCGAACTGAATTAAGCCAATCTATTATGGAATCACCATTAGATACATCTTCAGTGGATTCTGCACCTGCCAAATAAAAGTAACTGCTACAGTTAGGTGATTGGTACAATTCTGGGCTAAAAACTTTCTCTGAACCTTTTACAAATTATGACCTTATAAATAAGGTTCTTGGCCACAGTAGTTTCACATGGAAATATGTGTTCTTCCAACAAGTTTGGTCACTACAAATGCTTAACTCACCATATCTTCCTAAATTAATCACAGCAGCAGAGTTACATCTGTTGGACAGGTTAATATCACCACCTTTAATAGTCCATACCATCAAATAATAGCTATTTGACCAATAGTAAACACCTCAGCAAATCACTTCTGAAGTGACTGTTTTATAAAGGCCAGGCTATAAGATAATGGATTGTGATACTTTTAATGGATTCCAGTCCCTAAACTGGAAGGCCTGCAACCCAATCCTTTGAACATTTACTGAGATCTCTACCAAGGCCATATTTCAGCACAACAGAAGACAGGCAATAACTTATCCATGCAATACTGCATAAGCCCAGCATCTTGTTTCATCCAGACTGCTTCTAAAATATGAATTCACAATATTAACACATCAAGGCAGCACTTGGCCAGACAGATTTGAACCACGCTGGTTCAGACAAGATGTCAGACAGGCATGTGCAGTTATCATGGGTAAATCAGGCCTGCTTTGAATAAATTCGGGGCACAGTCAGAATGCTCTCGACCACACTCTCTTAAGCCAGGAACAAAGGAGAAAAAGAACAGGGAACAGCCTGCCTCACTTTGGTAGAAGCCATTTCAAAGGAGTGAATACATACTTCAGGAAATCTCTAGAAACTGCACTGCAACAGGTGTCAGAGGCACAACAAGATCTAGCCACCGGAGCACAATGGCTAGATTTAAAACACTTCTTTTGGAAGGCATTTGGTACACAATCTGACTATTACCACAGGAGTGTCAAAAGAACAGCACATACCTCTGTTGTCTTCAACGTGCTGTGGGGGTGGGCCTTCCTTGATTTGCTGGAGCCTTCTTAGCAACTCTTCTTCCGTAATTTCACCTGAGGAAACAATGGGCAGGTGTTCCTGAGAAAGTCATTCACACTCATGTGCAGCCACACTAGGGGAACCAAAGCAGAGATGTGTTCACCAAGATTACTATTATTCTTTCTCTATTTAACATTGGGATATATTTTCATTTAAAAAGCCATGATGATTTTGGTGGATATGTGGCAACATTCCCAACCACCCTACCTTGAAAAGTGATATACGGTGGAAGAAGAGAAAGGGGAAAAGAAAAATAATGTGAGAGGGAGGGACGGAGGAAGGGGGCACTCTAGAAGCCAGACACGTGGCTTGCCTTCTTCTGCCTGGGAAAAGAACAGAGCAAGGCTTCGGCTCAGCACTGAATGTACAATGAAGAACAGAAGGCAAGAAATTAGAACAGTAATGCCCCTATTCAAGAAAATGAACAGACAGCAATTTATAAAATAAACAGAATGTTTTTTTGAGGGGAGGTCTGTATGAAAGAGAATGAAAAAGTGTTCAATCTACCAGACAACAAAATAGCAAAAAGGTGAAATGATGTTCAATCTTATCTCAGCTGGGGGGGGGGGGGGCAAGAGGGAGAGAGAAAAACATTTGGCTGATAAACAAGAGACAGTCTGACATTATAAAATATAAAGCTATCCCCACAGTCAAAATCAGAAGGTGGCTGACCAGTACTTGCTGCTGATGCCCACTATACCTTTACCCATTAAAAGAAGTCCAGGGGAATGCCAAATGTAAGTTTATTGGGTTAGGAATTCTAGATACTACTGCTCTAGGAAGTATCTCGTGTTCTATATTAGTAAGCAAAGTCTTTACGCAACACATCATTGCAGAAAGATGACTGAATCTTCAATAGATTCCTCATCTGTTAACTGAGAGTGAACAGCATCTCTACAGGCTTTTCGTTCAAGAGAATCGTTCTATAAACTCTGCTCTGACACTGCGATTTTGCTTCAACCTAACTGATGGTTAACTTTAAAAAAATTCTTTTGAATTTCTCCTGAGGAGGGGAAAAGAATAAAAGAAGGATTTGATATGGCTTTTTTTTTTTTAGGGGGGAATAGAGATCCTCAGTTGCATTTATTGCAGAGATTAAGATCTTCGTGAAATCCATATTGTAGAAACCTGAGGTGCTGGATGTATTAGTACAATTAGTACAACACATGCGCGTAATCCCTTATGCCGGTACGGCATCTATCCTGAGCGATTGAAATTAACAGCAGAACAGCAAGATTACTACTGTCTGAATACCAAGCTAAGAAAGTAGCATACCAGGAGTGCCTAGTAAGTTGTTATCTCTCATTAGCCTGTAGTCTTCTTCACTCAGGTTATTTACAAAGTGATAGAAAGCTTCTTCTCGGTCCAACCGGTCCAATTGACTCCGGCGCTGTGCTTCCGATGGATTGATATTTCCTTTATTATTAGCATCTGAGCTTTCCATGTTGATAAAAGTAGAAAATATTTCTAAAAAAAAAAAAAAAAAAAA